AACAACAACAAAAAGAAACCTGAGATGTTTCAACTGGTCCAGCTAAGGTGTTACTATATCACTGAATAGGAATGACATTGAACTGTGTGAAATCACCTGGTTTTCAACAGTGACACTGTGAGGTATGGGCAGCATGGGATCAGAACTGATCCTGTGGGTTCTGCTTATGGGGAGTCACCTTGGCAAGGCAATAGAGGTTTGAGAACAGTCTCCCCAGATTTCTATGTATGGGTGTTTGTCCCGGGCTTGACTGTGAGCCACCTCCCACTCATGTACTAGGAGTGGGATGATCCTGGTGATGTGTCTTGCAGTGCTGATATGGGAACTCATAGAAATTATGACTAGATTATTAAAATCATTGTGACCCTATTTGTACTCCAAGCATTTAAAGAGGGCTTTATCTGTTACAGTTAGTATTAGAAAGTATGAAAACAGCTGTATTAAATGTTTGGACACTTAGATTGGGTACCTCTTCTGGGTCTTAAGGTTAGTATGGTTAGTATCATAATAAGTTTACTGAATAATTTTATTGCTGCCTATTATGTGGAGAACAAAATTGCACACCACAAAATATACCCAGATTCTACTGCCAGAGTGATGTAGCTGTGGACTTTCACAGTTTGCATATTTGCTTGGCAGGCAGGGCTGTGATTATTCTTTCATAACTTTTGAGTCCACTGAAGATGGCACATAGACATCTTCAGGGGTTGAATTTCTTTTACTCAGAAACTGACCTTGAATATTGCCATCAGCTGGCAAAGTAATGATCCATTTCCTGTTGAAACAAGTTGTCCATTTGCTTCGAAAATGTTTCTTGAAGAAGTAAAAAATGCCCAGCACCAAGACAGGTTGAGTTTTCAAAAAAGCATGTTTTTTAACCCTGAACATTAAAGGTATTGTTTCAGGCCAGTTCTTCTTGGGTTGGTTGGCTCCCAGGCTGCCAGGACAACGTGGTAAGCCAATGGTTTTCTGGGGTAAATATGGCCAGGGTCAGTTTTTATTTGCATAGCCCAATTTCCCTTTTCTCAGAATTTTCTACTTATGTTTCTCCACATATAATACATGGAACACTATAGAGTCACTATTAGTCGGAATCAACTCAACAGTAGCAAGTTTTATTATGTTTATGCCCAGTTGTGACTAAAAAATAGCCTGAATCACAGCTGCTTCTTTAACTCTGATGCTCATGTTCTAGGTTGCATGTACTGTAATCTAGACCAGCTTATAAATCCTTGA